CCCCAAAACCCCAAAACCCCAAAACCCCAAAACCCCATTTCTTTGAACTCTACAGTAAATATTTAATATTTATTTCGAAATGGTAAGTTTACATTTTTGGCCTTCTGGCTTATTCATGAACATAGATGGAGAATCCGAGTAAGTCTAGAGACACATTTTCATCATAAATACATTATGAAATGCGATCAGTATTTTTGTAAGAAATCATCACAGAATGTGAGCAATATGTCTATTTACAGATGGTATAGCCATGCCAATAATTAATCTAAGCAAGGGTAATCATGGAGAAAGTCGCAATGGTACGAAAAGAGTTTATATCAGTCCTTTTGACTCTACCAAAAAGTTTTACTAATGATAATGTATCTGATTCCTTCTGAATCGTGCTGCTTTTGAACTATTCGTTACTGTCATTACTGATATCCAGCCAATTAATGTTGGGGAAACTGTGCTCTTATATCCGTAGAAGGGATACTTTCCTTATGGCTCTCGCTGAGAAGCATAAAGCACAGTGGATTAGAGGCTGAGAAGCAAATATTATCGTTAGATCCCACCTCTTAAATTTGTTTTGACTGATGTTTTGTAATGATATAGTTAATACTCTTGATGAGTTTATCTGTTATTGTATAATATAGACAGAGACTACTTCGTCAAATCTGTGGCTTTTGGTCATAAGAATCAGTAAGGTTTTAGATGTATCAGTCCCAATATGATGTAGGAATTTTTCAGAACATAAACCTCCAAAAAGAAACAAATCTATCAAGTTTGAGTTTCACAGGTATTCACAGTTTTGAAAACTTGAGAATTAAAGGATATATTATATAGTCTCTCAGCCAATAATCTTCGAGGTTTACAGCCAGAATTGAAGCGGAGGAAATCATCAAAGGCAAAGTACAGCTCGAGGGCTTCCCAACTACCCAAAATGAGCCCAATTAAATTTGACAAAATCAGGTTTACCTCGTATCATACAACATATGGGATAATGAAGCGGGAAAAGAGGTCTAAAAAGCGGGTAGAGAAGCCTCAGGGTGAATGTGAGAGTGTCCCTCGCGAAGTGATTGACAAATTCCAGAATCCATTCTATTACAAACTTGAGGAAGTCAATAAGAAAGGTATACCTTCTCTTTCATTTCTAGTCCGTGAATATGTAAGGTTATTTGGCACAAAGAGTAATATTGCTAAAATGAAAAGGATCAGGAGCAAACTCCGAACTAAGAAGAAAACCTTCTTGGATGAAGTAATTACCGGAGACTCATTAGCTATCCTCCGTCAGAGCTTGCTAAAAATCGAACAGAAATAAGCAATATGAAAAAGAGCTTCAGGATTTTATTAGAGAGGCTAAACTCTCTGAAAGACTTTTTGGACTAAAGTCTCTTCAGAATAATGGCAATTCCAAGTATCCTTTGATAGTGATTTGTAGGTACAATAGTCAAGATAAGAGAGCAGTCAAGAAAATAAGAGTCAAATAAGCTATCGACAAAAAGAAGCAAGAGAGACTTAGTCTCAAAGAGAGCCTTTAAAGACCATTTGATTACTTCAGACCCTCTTGGAGCTATCCAGAGTCGAACCAATCTTGATAATGTCGTAAAGAAGGAAATAGAACAAGCTGAAGAGGACAGGTATGTGTCCCGGCTTATAATTTAGCAGCGATAGCATATCCTCCAAAAGTTTCGAGTAAGAACTTGGTTTTTAAGGATTTTTATGAATTATGAAAAATTTCATGAAGTTTACTAACTTTCTATACAGAACTTTCAGTCAAGAAACATCACAAGAGGTGAAGCATAGAAAACCAATGACAAAGCGGCATAGTGGAAGCATGCATATGCGCTTCAGGTCAAGTAGCAGCAAACTGTTCCTCTCAGTTGCTGAGGAGGAACCATCTGTGGCTTCGAAAAAGTCAAAATCAAAAGTATTCAAGAAAAAGAAGTCTAAGGTACTTTTATACTATTAATGCTCAGTCGCCATTACTAAAATCTCACACAAGCATCAACATAAATTCTTTACTGGATGAATTGGTGAATCACAACCCGTTTGAGATGAGTGGCTCCTTAATGACTATTGAAGAGGTGAAAAATCCACCAAAGCCGAGTAAAAAGAGCAATGAATTTAACTTGATCATTAAATAAAGTCCAAAAAGAGCCCGAGAAAACGGATAAAGTCATATTTCACGAACTTTACAAGTATTATGTACGACCTCAGTAACTGTTTATAGCCAAATAGCCGTTTGCAGAAGAGGCTGGAAGGACATAAAGCTTGGACTTCCAGGTCTCCTGATAAGGATAATAATCAGAAATTACAGTCTGTAAGTACCAGGACTGATCTTATAGGGAACCAAAGTGAAACACAGCCCTCAGAAAAGGAAGGTTATGAGGGTCCAACACAAATTTGATCAAAAAGATCTCACTCTAGAGCCGCCTAAGCAATTGAAGTTGAAACCTCTGGCCAGCTTCTTGATGAAAACTACTGATTCTCGGGAAAAGAGCACGACTGGGTCAGAATTTTTGAGTCAAAATATGAACCATCGCTGTGAGACTAACCTGAAGGTAATTTGAACTGTAAGAGTTTGATTTTAATATTGATATAGGAAAGACAATCACATAATTTTCCAAAGAATAGCTCAAGCAAAACATTTATACCAGATAATACTTCTTTAGTTACTGAGAATGTTTTAAGTCATTTCTGAAAAGAGGCTACAGAAAGTTCAATCTACACTAAGACATTGAGGAAGGATAAATTTCCAAGTATTTACAGAAGCAGTCAATCAAAGGCATTCTTAAATACGATGCAAAGTGGGTTTATTAAGAAAAATAAGAAAGATAAACAGCTTATTACTCAGAAGTTAGATAAAAAGCTGAGAGATTTCTTGTAAATTCAATTTAACAAATAATATTTGCCTCTAAATTCCACAAGTATTTTCAAAGGATTCATTTTCCATTCATCTTCAAACCTCAATTCAAATCAATTTCTTTCCTGACTCAAGGGGTTTTGGGGTTTTGGGGTTTTGGGGTTTTGGGG